CTTACCCCCTGCAGCCCACCCTACCCACACCTAGATCACAGCACTCCTGCAGCACTACCTGGGAGTGAAAGAGATGTGTGAGTGCGGCATGGCCAGGCATCACACCGGTACCTCTGGCCGGTATTTGGAGCATGTACTTGGAAAGAAGCATTTCAGGGGCCCTCCCATCACCCCAGGCATAGCCCATGCACTGCACTTACCTCTCCAGCTAGGTACAAGACTCAGCCAGCCCTGTCAGGAGCTGCTGTGTCTCACGTGGGGGCCCCTCCTTCACTGTACTTGGTCCAGTCAGCTTGTGAGAGGAAAAAGAAACCCAACAAAAAGAGGGGATGTGTGAAGGGCTGGGTCAGGTTGGGGGATGGCATTCACTCAGGACAGCCAAGACAGAACAGGCTTAGCTATCAGAGGGATGAAGAGGAGGGTCCCTCTGCAAATACCCAAGATGAGAGGATGCCAGTCTGTCTCCAAGGCTGGCTAGGAGAGGGTCAAACTTGACATTCCCTCCCTCCCATTGCTGACTGCCTGCTTGTATGGGAACACAGGCCGAAAAGAACCCAGCACCTTCATAATGGCCAAAAGGGCAGCAGTGGTGGGGCAGAGAAGGGAGACACATCCGGATGGGTAGTGCATACCTGCTCTTTGGTGTAGCTGCGTGCACAGGGCCCAATGCCCCGGAAGATCAGAGCCACCAAACAGCACCTGTGCCAGACAGCACAGCTTCTGCGGCTGCCAGCACCATGGAGGGGAACCAGAGTGCCAGGGCTGTGTCCTGTGGAGCAGAGGGTTGGAGGTCCCACAGGGAGGCTTGCGTGGTCCACTGCACCCAGCCTAGCCCATGCAGCTGAGCAGAGGCTGTGCAGGCAGTGGGGCAGAGGGAGAAAGAAAGGGAGACAGAAAGAGTGGCAGAGAGAGAGTGGGCACATGGGAGAGGTGTCTGAGGTTAATGCTGCACTAGATCTCCTCTTTTGTGCTAAATTAAGCTAATATTTGAACAGCCTTCTTATTAATTTCTTTGTTAATTCCAGTGTTTATCATCTATCTACCAGTAACGTGTCTAAACCTCTGTGTGTGTTTTACTCCTGGAGTTTCTCTGGTGAAGGGGCTGGAAGTGATCCTATATTATCACATGTCTCAGCATAACCTCTGTGCATGTTATTGCATACTTAGGATGAAGTGCTATTACATCCAACCTGTTCAAGGCCAGGTTGGATGAGGCTTTGAGCACCTGGTCTAGTGGAAGGTGTCCCTGCCCATGGCAGGGGCTTGGATCTGGATGAGCTTTAAGGTCCCTTCAACTCAAACCATTCTGTGGTTCTATGAAGAAGAAAAAGAAGCGAGGGGAGAGAAAGAAACAAAGATGAAGCAGAGGCAGGAAGAACTGTCGGGAGCAGGGGTGCATGGTGGCCCTGCAGACTCACATAGATGCGAGTGGTGTTGAAAGGACAGTCATTGGTCGCTATGGCTGCACGGGCGTCAGCAGGCAGGGCAGAGCTGTTGCAGCCGGTGATAAGGTGCATGCCCCGGCTGTGAATGGTGAGGGCGATGGCCAGCGCCAGGCCCACGCTGCACGCTGTGCAGCAGGGACACGCTCAGCAGGGCCCAGTGCTGCAGGCAGCAAAAGAACAGGTGAGATTGGGGATGGCCAAAGCTGGGGGACATGCCAGGGCTCAGCACTGCTGCTGCATCAGAGCTGTGGGATGCTCTCTACAGCCGCTCTGCAGTGAAGCAGGGTGCTGGGAACCCCTCAGACGTTTGTGCTGAGCGAGCACATGCAATCTCCTGCACGTTCCAGCACGGCTCAGCCCTGCGCTTGGACGAAGCTTTCATACCTTCCGCATCCTTTGCTGCTCCCGTGAGCCCAGAGCCCCCAG